GGAAAAGTGAAAAAAAAAGCACTTGAAAAATGGGTACATGAAATGTACTGAGCAATTAAATTTGGGACCCAGTATTGTCCAGATTTTCCTTTTTTTGTTTGATAATTACAATATTCTAATGTCGAGGAGAACAAAAGTAAAGAGTTATTTATATATATATACATATATAAAAATCAGATTATAATTAAAAATTATAGTAGCATAAAACATTTGCTTTATAATAAATTATAATAAAAGGTTTTCGTCATTGGTTAATGTGCTTTTGTATATAATTCATTATATCGGAGCAGTGTTGAATGATTGTTTATGAAAATAAATTCATAATACCTTTTTTAATTAAACAACAAATTTTATATAAAATTAAACATATAGCACTGAAGGTATTTCATATAATCATTACCCATGTTCTAATAGATGTAGCATGACCTAAAAAATGTGGAAGTAAAAGCGCAAACTGTACTGAAAAATTATTAATTATTACGTTCTTTCATAACGAATTACTTGACATTAAGTTAAATATTCATTATTGACCGATGTACCTTCATGAATACATGCTTTCAGGAAATATTTGTAGTATAGAAACACGCTCTTTAAGTTAATATAGAAAACAACGTTGCGGAGTAATTGTGAAACCAAACAAACTATAGACTTAAATGGTTGGAAAAAGAGCATTGATAGTTTTTCATATAACGAAACAAATTTAAAAATCAATTAGATGTCAGCATTAATGAGATCATTTGTTATTCAAATATTTTGATTTCGTAAAGCGCTCAGAAGGATCAACTTACAAGCCAAGTTTTCATGGTATATAGTGATAAATGCTAGTTATTCGTCACAAGAAAATAACGTGTCACTATACACAGTATTTATGTAAATATAGTAGAATATAATAACATTTACAATTCAGCCAGCGACTGATTTTTGTAATTGTTTACATCATTAGTCCTCCAAATTATTTTCTGTAAAGAGTGTTCGCGATTCCATGATGTTGTTAAATAGATTATAGTTTGTGTATAAAATTTATTATGTATAACTTAATAAATAGCATATGTACGAAATATTACATAATACATGATGCAGCGACTATTTTCACTTATAAATATTACAATGCGTCAATAAACGCTAATTAAGTTTATAAAAAATTGTGACATGATAAATTCGTATGTTAACTGCGAAAGTGAAACTAAATAATAATCGTGCTTTGACCAAAATAATTAAAAAATGTACATTATTTGGGTGAAAATTATTCAGAAAAAGAAAAAAAAAGATTGTATAACATAATGCCGTATAAAAACATATATTTGCATACTCGTTAAATTTCATACATATTAAATTTCACTCAACAAAACAGATTACAATTTATACACAGGTGTTTATTTAATCGGTCCTGATTCTAATCCAAACTACTAAATATTATGAGACCTTTATATTACAGTCGATATATAATGGAAGTAAGATTATATTTCAGTTGTGCATATATAATTAATACTTAATATGAACAATCTTTACTTAAGTATTACTGTATACGCGTCATTTCGATAAATTTACATGTGCATATGAAATATTAAATTATCAGCATATGTACATATAAATCAATCACTTTTATCTAATGAATAGCATTGTATGGTAAAATATAAATAACATTCTTATATTTAATTTATAGATGATTGTATTGTTTACCATTTACATACATGAACTTTCAATGTTTATAAGTTGTACCTGCACCTGCAGATCTATTATCAATATTGAAAACATTAAATATCGTTTACAAATCAAGTGCAATAAAGTCGATAGATAATAAAATGGAAGCAACTTATACTTAACAACTGTTCTTAGATCCTAATATATCTATATATAAATATAGATATATTATTACTATACATACATTTATTATATTAATAACACCTTCCAAATTTTATAATTACAAACAAATGAGTGATTATTACATTAAATTTTTGTTTGATCATAAATTACAAAGTCGGGAGTTGTTACATACGAAATTATATGCAAACATTTGGTATCTTATTAACATACAAAACATTCATCCTTTTCAGTCAGTATATTTTAAAAGAATAACTTTAAAAATAGTAGTTACATTAATGAGTTGCAACATGTTTCTGTAAATCTTCAAGACTTGGAAATGGTTTATCACATAACTGACAAACATGCGCATTTTCATTATGTATATCTAAATGTTCTGACAAATCTTCCTCTGTTTCAAAAAGTTCATCACAAATCATACATTGAAATTCATAAGCTTTTATTCCTTGTTTCTCCCATTCTGCTATTGCAGCCTCTTCTTCATGAGCTTGCATATGCATTTCTAATAACATTTCTGAATTAAATGTTTCTGCACATTGCAAACATTGATAAGGTTCTTCCTTTGATTTATCATTTTCATCAGCAATATTAATAAGATTAGGATTATCATCCTCTTCGTCAAACAAATGTTTTGCAACGTGCGCTTCGAGTGCATCTCCAGAATCTAATGAATCACCACAGATTGCACACTGATACTGATCTTTACCAGGACTTTGATCATCCTCGCTCGTATCATCGCAATGTTTTTGTAAATGGTCTTTTAATATTTCCTCATCTGTAAATATTTTATCACATACAAAACAAGTATATGTTTTCTTTGGTTTCTCTCCTGATCCAGTATCCCCTTTTCCTTTAGTTATCCCAACTTTTTCTGATTGTACATTGCTCATTTCTATCCTAGAATTGTCCGTTTTAACAATTGAATTATTTTCTACTTTCGAAAATTTACTTTTTTCTGATTTTAGATACACTGTTTCTTTAGAATCTTGCAGTGCATTTGCATTTGTTAACTTTTGAGTTTCTCCTTTTGTTATATTTTCTATATTAAATTCAGACTGATCGTGACTTTCTAAATGACGTACTAAAAGTTTCTCAGTTCGGAACGTAGAATTGCATACATAACATTTGTGAATTTGTTGTTTTGTAGACTTACAGACATGAGCTTTTACAAATCTAGCTTCTACTATTTCATGACATCTCTTACATCGCATCATTTTATGCTTATTGTGTCGTAATATAGAACTGGTGTCTGTTTTATGCATACGAACATGTGTCACAGCATCACTGTGGCTACTAAATGATTGTTCGCACACGCCGCATATATACTTTTCACCATGCGGTGAAGTTATTTTAAAAATATTTTCTTGGGTTTCTATTTTATGTTCACTTTTAGCACTAGAATCTGCAACTTTTGGCTCTTCTACCTGTTTTGTTGCTTTATTTTCTTGTGATTTCTGTACACTATCAGTTCTAGACGTTTCAGATGTATCTAGTTCGTCCGATAAATACGAGTCAGAATCTAAAGCAGAAGTATTATAGTCATTATATCTTATTGGTGGGACACTTTGCCTTTTATGGGAAACCATACTAAATGGTCCACCAAGTTTATTTTTAACTGTACGTTTAATTAAGACGTGCATATTATTAATGTTTCGCAGTTTACTTTCTTTCGCCATATCTAAACGCTTTAATTCAACTTTTGGTTGATATTTCTTAGAATTTTCTGCCTCCTTTAAAAATGTCGGTGAAACTGTTCCAGACTGCTGAGAATATGAATTGAAATCAGAACCACAACTTCTCATCATAGATGATTCAAAATTTTTTTTTATAGTTTTTTCTATTATATTTTTTAACTGTTGATCTAGAGTTTGATACGATGTCTTACAATCATGTCCTGTTTTATCTTTTCTCAAACCATCATTGCTTGTTCCAAACAATCTATACTTCATTTCTTTTTCTACAAAACCTGCTAACTCAACTTGTACGTGTTTTAATGCTTCTATTTCCGTTCCTTCCACCTCTATATTTAAACATCTTTCAATACATTTTTTATTATTAGCATCTATTGGAACTGGATTTATTCTACGAAGTTGTACAGCATCAATAATATCGGTATTTTTCTCTTGAGAATTTTGATCAATACCACCATTCTTAAATTCTTTTGACAAAGTATTTAAATTTGCTTTATTCAAATAATGGGGTTCTGCAAGCATTAATGTAGAGGTAACAATATACGTAGCATCACCAACTTCTAACTCTGATTTTACTGAACATGGTGTAAATGTATCTTCGTTAATTTTCGATTCGTCCTTTTTTGTTGACTTTTCTTCAACAGTTTTTTCAGACAATAATGCAGAAGAATCTTCTTTCTCTTTTGAATCTTCAGAAAATTTATCTTTCTTTCTCTTATCTTGCTCAGTACACTCTTTTGCAGACATGTTTTTACTTTCAATTAACGAACCATCAGAATTGATATCTTTAAAAGATCTTGTTCTATGCGTATCAGAATCACTATCTACACTCATAAAATCATTTCTGTTATGTTTGATGGCATATTTATCTGCCATATTAGTTTCCATATTTTTTAATGATCTAACTAATCTCTTTTGTTTTTCAACTTCTTTATCCATATTTGTTTTTGCTCTTGCCTTTTGTACTGGTGATAACTGTGTGTCATCCGATCCCATAGAATCTGTATCCGAAACACTTTCTCCTGTTGCAGCTAGAAGTGCCCTTTTTCTTGCAACCCACCTTTTGGTTGATGCCTTTCTTCGTTCTGTTATATTACGTCTTCCAATAAATGGTTTAACCTTCATTGGAACCAGGGTAGGTTTTAACTGAAGATTATCCTTATTTTCTTGTCCTTCGTCATTTTTGCATTTATCATCATTAGAAACATCATGGGCTTTCTGTGAAGAGTCCTTTGAAGACGTAACATCATCTTCAGATATATACATGTCTTTGAGTATCGTTTGATCGGTTACGCTATCTGTATTTGTTGTGAACTGTAAAGGTATTAATGGTGGTACATCTGTTTTTGCTTTCTTCTGTAATAAATACTCTTATGAAATTATATATTATTAACAATGAAAAATAAATTGTTACTACTAATACTACCTTATCAAAAGAATCTGAAAGGCTATCTTCTCCGCTTTGTTCCAATTCATTGCATGGTCTTTTACATTTTGAAATCTAATACAAAATTATAAAGTAATTTAATCACAAGATATAAGTAGATAACCACATATAAATAGTAAAAGCTTTGGGATTCAATTAACTAAATTTACTTTCTCAAAACAAAATTATGCTTTATAAAATAAATGATTTTACCTCATTGTCAGAAGTTTCTATAAGTTCTAACTGACTTAATAACATTTGATTTGATCGTATAAATTGTTCTTTAAATTCATTCCACATATCCAATTTGTATAGACATATATGACATATGATACTTGGTAAACCATGCTCGTCCTTAATCTGCAGAGAGAAAATATTCATTCATAAAATATAATGAAGTAGAAAATTACATTTAATCAAAAAAAATTGTGTAAACATACATTGATAGAAGTACATTTACTCAAATCATTTACTTTTGGTTGCAAAACTTCGTCGAATAAATTAGTCATACATGTATGATCTACTAGGCAAATACGGCATCTTTCTTTTATATTTGATAATTTACGTTTTCTCGACATCTTTTGCTACTTGTACAAAATGCAAAATGAAATTACGCGTATCTCTTTGATACCGAACACTCTGAAGAGGTTACAAATGAAGTATGGCGGGTGCAACCACGATAGATCGATATATTATCGAAGCATGATTCATAGATATGTTCAAAGTATTACATTAAATTGCGCGAAAATTTGTACTTTATTATTTAAATGCAACTCAGTTAGCATTGAAAATTAAATGTTGTGCTTAGCACTTAACTTGGTATAGCTTTATAAGAAATAATTTTTGGAAAAGTATATACCAATTACCAGATCTCACTACATGGAGGTGGCTACGCATAGGGACCCGAATAATTCACTCTACTGACACAATTTGTAATAAAGATATGTATGTCTTATCTTTTATTAACGATAAGTTTGTTAATTTATGTTTTTTTTTTTTCAATAGATTATGTTTACGTTTATGCTTTTATGGTTTAATTTTTCGTGATATTTTTATATTGGAATTTCGTTACTATCTTTTGGAGGTTAAAAATCGTTTAGTGATCGTTAAAAAAACTTATACAATGTTCTAAAAGTTATATGAATTGTAATATAGAATCGAAAATTAATTGGTCGGATATTCAGCTATCAGCCGAAAATTGGTAAAAATTTTCGATTGTTTTCAATCTTCTTAATAATTACTTTTATAATGCAATATTCGGTAATTAATTACTGTTTTTACATTTATTATAAATTTATACGTTGGAGCAATTTGTTATTAGCAATAAATTTAATAATTTATGTATTTTTTGTAAATTATAACTGCATTTACGTCTTACATTATTACGTCTATTTGTATTAACCTTTTATTGTGAAAATATGTAACTTATAGAAAAAATCGTGTTTCAGTGTTAGAGCTACAGATAGTTCGTATTATTATCGGTAGCTTGTAAGTTTTTGGTTTTCGTTGTACCTACTATTTTTTTATGGAAGGTATGGATTCACTAATGCATGAAAAAGAATATTTAGAAAATCACTGTAATAATTAAAAACATGGTATGAAGCAGTTATAGTTTGTAATTTAATCGAATTTAATAGATTGTACATTAAATCTTACATCTAAAGACCTGAATATTTAAAACTTATGCAAATAACATTTAAAACGGCCATGTGAAATAATGCTCAGTATCATCATGTTTCTAACATGATTCTTGTCAACAGAAATGGTAAAATTAATACACGTGATCAGGATTTATGTCGTTTACTACAGAAGTAGCCTCATAAGCTTGTCGCTCGGCTTCTCTCTGAGCTGCAATCGCAGCATGTTCCTCGGCGATTTTCTGGTACAGGTGCATATGTCTATCCTTCGCCCTCCCCACACTCGCAGAATCCTATAAAATGCAGCATATGATCATAAAGTTAGGTAAAAGTTACCATTTTCAAATAATCTCCAATGATGAAATTGAATCTTATTTGAATATGCTTGCTCAGAATCATAATAAAATTATAATATAAATGAAAGATGTATAAAATTCGTAAACGCTTTGCAGATTGCTTTATAAAATATTTATATAGAATTTCATTATACTAGGTTCGTATTTTTTTATCTAGTAATTCGAGAAATCGATTAATGTATCAACTGGAAAGAATTCGTCACGTAATTATCGATATATTGAACGCAATTCTTAGTTTAGTCAATAAGTAATGTCAGATTTTTGCAGCAGATGGTGCTCTTTTGTGTTTAACACGAGGCAGTGTTCCTAACCTCTTAAATATGAGTATATGCTTATAAAGATCAAAATAATCGATATATTATTTACTACAGAAGTTTCTCCTCTTATAATGAGTGTATTATTTCCTAATGTAAATATGATAAAAACAATATTCACTAATAGAGAGCTATTTAAATTTAAGTTATGTGATAATGCAGCTGTTGAGATAAAAAGAAAAAATCAATGTAAAAATAATAAAATGCTTATTACCCGTGGTAGATTGACCGAACCGCCATGAGCATTTGCTTCAGCAATTTTTTCGTATAGTCGAAAATGTTTTTCCTTTGCCAGTTTCACCGCTTCAGAATCGACAGGTTGGGCAACTGTATCTTCGTAATTTATTAAGGATGCATGAAATCCAGTTTCATCGGCAGTGTATTCTACTGTTCGTATTTTATGCTTAGGATCGACGAAAGAGTAAGAACCTGAGTATTCGAAAAATATATAAAATAAAAATTAAACAAGCATTTAAATTAAAGGTAAAACGATCTTAATTTTAGTTAAAATAATTTCAAATATTTCGCGGTATTTCAGAGCTAATAAATTTTAACTTCAAATAATTTTTTTATATAATATTCGTATATATTAAATACAATTATGTTCAGTTAAAGTTCTTAAAAATTACATAAACTGGTTGTATTTATATTATTATATAAAATGATTCTAGGTTATTGGGCATTTAATAATCACCTTGAACATGTCCGGCGCCATCCCCACTCTCTTGTTGAACACGATCTATGTTTCCAGGAAATCGTCCTGCCTGATACTGAAAACTGTACGGTCTAGGAGGTGGTGGTGGAGTTGTAGTTGTGGAATATTCTGACAAAAGATGTGATACGTCCCCCAAGCAGGGGCTAATCAAAACGATTGCGATCTAATTCGAAAGCACAGTTATCTAATTAGCTATATTGGTAGACACGTTTTAAAATATGTACTTATTTGTACATAATACAGGATACAAGTTACTCGACATAATTTTCTTACAGTTTTATGAATTAATTTAAACTAATGATATTTTTATTAGCAATTCTTATTATTTTAATTTTACAGAGGAAAGAAGTAGCATTTATACATCAGAATTAAAAGTTTAGTGCAAATGTTAATGTAATCATGCGCATGAAATGATGAGACCTTTATACAAGTTAAATTCCAAACCGGTTACGAAATCATCCGATCGTGCATCGCATAATAATCATTCTAAGATAAACGAACTATCTTATCAAATTTTTACTATTTTTCATTCATTTTTATTATTTTTATTTTTTATTATTTGTTGTAGAAAATTTGAGCATAGTCAAAAAATATTCAGGAGAAATTATCCAAAATATATTGAAATGAATTATTGATTTAATTATTTAAAACGAAGATAAAATAACGAGATTAAGGTATTCGAAATTAGATGTTGATATATATTAATTATCGTACAATTGATATACTTACCATTAGATTCTTCATCTCTGCAGCTGTGCGTCAATAGTTTCGTTCGCACGAATCGGCATAAACTGAGAGTCTGCCAGTGAAAGTAATATAAGAAACTTACGAAAAGGTGGAGGCACTACGTGTTAAGCCTGTTTTAACATTGGCGCTTCTTCAAACATAGTAAGCATTCCTTCGTAGTAAAACAATTAAAATGGAAAGTGGTATATTTCTAACGTATTGCAATATATAAACCATCTTCAGATTTGATCAAATATAGATGTCTCTCTTAATCGTAATATAAATTTTATATTCTTTTTCAATGTCATCAAATTTCATAAGCATGTAGAAACGTATCTTTTTTGTATTGAACAATGAATAGAGTACATCTTTCTTGAAGGCGTTAAGTATAGGAATTACTGAATCTACATACTTCATTTTAATTAGAAATTAGACAAAATAAATTTGTTATAGAATAATATAAATACTAAATTTTGTCTACTACAGCAAGGTCTACTAAAAGTAGTGAATAGTCAGTTTTATCAATGTCATTATCTATTGTATCACTCGTAATATTCTTTATACAAGAATGCGTTAAGTTCATGTAAAAGATTTTTAATTGCAATAGGACTATCCAGTTACAGTTACAATTCTTATAATCCCATATACTAATATACATACATGAGATTATTGAACATAGTTATATTTGGAATAAGAGAAGAAAAGATATTTATATCGATTTATTCCTAAATTTTAAGAGTTTCTACATTGAACTTCATCTAATTTAATATATTTTAAAGAATTGTTTTAATGTAAGGAAACAGGAAATTAGAAATTTAATCAATTTCGAGCTTCTTGAAAGTCCCTTCGACACCAAATAGATCGGTCGCCGTCTTCCCTTTACCTGGTCTCAGAGATTCGTTAACACGTTTCGTTCGTTCTTCTTCCAAAAACCATTCACGATTTTCCTCAAGTAGTTTAATTGTTTTTTCGTGAAGTTGCGCTATATTACCACCCTTTCCACCAGCTTCGTTCGGCAGTAAGTCTATGGGTATGAATTTCGACAAGGTGTCCAGATTCGTATGTGTATGAAGCTGAAACAAGTTATATATATATATTCAATAATATATATGACACTTCGAACTCAGTTAAAAATGAAGAATTTACAGAAATAGCGCATGTTAGAAATTCGAATAAATTATAACAGATGATAAATCTCTTCCAACAAGAACATCATGTTCACTCACTACTCTCCTACATATTATATATGTTATTATATGTTATATGTTATATATTACATATATCATACTATTATGTAGTACTGGTTCATATATGAATATTTACTATAAAGAGTATAGTTGAAAATTTAAGGTACTTAGTATAGAAAAGTCTAAAGTTCATTACAGGTTTAAAATTTCTATTCCATGAATCACTTTCTATACTTTAAAATTGAGAAAGAAGACTTGGTTCATGAAAATCTCAAAGACGAACGGAAGGATGCTTTTAAAATTATTCGTGAGAGTAATTAAGTAACAGGTATATAGTACCATATCCAGCAGCTCTTTCTTCATGAATGGTTTCATCATATTCAGTATCACATCCATCACTGCTGTAATGTTCATGAAATGAAACCCTTTTAAACGAACTGGCAGTGCTTCCTGCAAGAAGTAAAGATATTTCTTCAATCCCATAGGATTTAGTCGAGCAGCATGACCAAACACGACATTTTTCATATCAAATAAAATTATGTGTCCCTGCGTCGTGCCTTCTTTATGAAGCCACAAATCAAGAACCATGCTCAGATATTTCATTCCATCATTATAGACGTAGTTAGAAGGTTCTATATCGACTAGTCTCCCATAAAGAATAGCATAGCCTTCTGGTGTCTTCTTTTCCAAAACTTTAATGACACTGAAACGTATTTTATAATTACAGAACTTAATAAAAAGATTAATATTTTTATATATAGTCATTAATAAAAAAATAAATAGTAGACTTTGTGCGTGCAATTTGTAATTAAAATGGTACGTAATAAAAGATAAGTGAAACGTGTGATATTAATGTGAGAGTTAAAAACAATGGCTATGGAAATATAGCGTATTTTATAGTATTTTATTCGTTGACCTTTACTACCAGGTTTATTTTCGGTTATAACTGACATCATGGTATAATTTGCACAGGTCATTGTTATGTAGATTTTGTGGTCAAATTTTGATATCTTCTTAAATTCGTTTTAAAAAAAAATAGAAATTTGTAGGATATACTCTTTTGAAAGATAGTACTACGAAATAACAATTTTTTCATTTTAATATTTCTTGTGATTATAGCAGTAATATCAGAAATAAATACATACTAATTATCATACTAAGAGCGCATTATTTTCTAAAGTTATACATAATTAAAACCAAAGTTGGTTTGTTAATTAAAGCACTCACAGTGTTTGAAATGCTCTCCTTAATTCCTTCTGGCCCAAAGGATCTCTATTAGCAAAAAATTCAGGAACGTGGGTCTTTACAGTAAAATATGTATCAATAGTCGTCTTTGTGGCTTCTATTTTATAGTAATTGCTATGTAAAAATAGCACCAATTCGAAGTCTGTTATTGGTGGTAGATGAGGCTGCTTTTTGTACCATTCTTTTAACATTTGTACATCTTCCTCCTTCATTTCTGGATTCTTTTTCAACTCCTCTTCGTATGACACTCCTTGAAATACTGCCATGTTTGAATCCCTATAAAAATGAAGAAAAATACCTATTATTAGGTACATATAAAATTTGTCAAAACTTCAAACTTCATATTTTGATTAAATAAATCCTTGTTTTGTCTCATGCCATATGAACTTATCCTATAAACTTATTATAATATTAATATCTTGTGTTAGTGGTTTTGAAAACCACAGGTAAAGAATAATTGAGTGTTTATTGGAGGAAATATTTAAACATAACGTGAGTGGAAAGTAAAGCACTACAGTACCGAGAAGAGCTTGTTTTGTAATGATCACGTCGACGGTTTGAATAGTACTAACTTCCATAGACATTTGAGTACAATCGAGAGATGGAATGAGTTAATATAATGTAATCACACATAGCATGACAGCCGAGGTTGTCAGACTCGCAAATGCAAAATTATGTCTTACACGAAAACATGGAAATCACGCGATACTATTTAAAAAAAAATTATGTTAAAGTATATGAACGTGTAATAATTATAAATCAATTTGATTAATTTTATCACTTAATTATTTATTTCTTAATTAAAATATAACATATAAACTTATATTAATTATATATCATACGTAATAAAATTGCATAAGCATGAAAACGTGTGTAATAAAAATATTTATAAAGTAGATTCTAAACTAAATATTTAGAGTGTTAAATTGTTATCAATCAATACTAACTACTGTATTATTAGTATCAATTATAAAACGCGTTTGATCCTATTAAGTTTATACTACTTTTAATTTTTCACGTATGACTTATTTATAAACACTCATTTATAATTCATTTGACTATATTTTCTGACTAAATTTAAATTTGGACTAACATCAAAAAATTCTGAAAATTACTCATATTTCATAATCAATTGTTAAATTAAATAAAACTTTATAAATGAAGTTACAAAGCAGACGAATGTAATTAATTAAAAGAAACATAAATATTCGTATGAATTATTGTAGCAAATGAATAATAAGTGAATATTTATTATTATTGCAAACCGTTATTGGGATAAATTGGGATAAATTTTAAAATATATAAATATAAAGTATTATTGTCGCTGAATCAGTTGCGACGTAAAAAGTCTTTTTTGTTCATTCTGAGTGAGACAAGATTTACAAGTATAATATACTGGACAGAAATAAAATGATTCATTACAAAGAGAAGTATATTGCATGACATTATAAATGAGAACTTATAATTAAACGAAATTGTTGGCTTATGAATATCGGAGTTGAATGTTAAGACGATACACACGCGTATTACATCGCGAGGTAGATCATTTTGATAAACCATAAACTGAGTTTAAAAATTATTATGATACGTAAAGTAATCGATTAAATCTGTGTTTATTTCTATTCCGTGATAATTCATCTATGAAACGAATCTTGCCTAATCTACTCTACCTTACCTAATCAAACAACAGCAGAGCACAACCGAATCCAGGAAAACCAAAATTGAGTCTACTTATTTCGTTAATAACATTATTTACTGGGTTCTCCTGTACAATTCAGCAAATCAGATACTTTCAAAAATAAATGAATAATAAATTATTCATAACGTATATAATTATCTACAGTGTAACTTTATGAAACTTTAAATATTAATATAAAGCAATTAGTACGTAACAGTATAATTAATTAGAAATCTAAAATACGCTATACTACTGCACCTAATTATTACCATACACATTTATGATTGCTCTATTTAACTGCAAACTATGACGACACGTAAGACAATTAAATACCTGTATATTCTTAATAATTAGCGTAATAATGAACTGTTGTAAGTAATAAATTGAAAAAAACAACACTGTTTTATTTCCTACAAGATTAATCGAAAGTTATACATAGAAGATTATATTTATTACTATTCTTATAAAATACATATAAACGCAGAGTTAATACATTTTCTAAAAATTGCGCACACAAAAAATTTGTCATCTGTTAAATAAGATACCGTATCGATATCTTTTTCAATCTATTTCAAGCTTCTTGAATGTGCCCTCAACACCGAACAGGTCGTTCGCAGTCTTACTTTTTCCAATGCGCAATGACTCATCCACCGAAGACAATTTCACCTCTTCGATGAACCATTCTCGTTTACTGTCGATTTCTTTTATCTGCTCCTCTTGCATTTGAATTATCGAGCCAGCTTTTCCACCGATTTCGTTCGGTAGCAGATCCAGGGGCACGAATTCCTCGAGTGTCTTTAACGACGAATGTAGATGTATCTAGAAAACATCGAGAATTTAGCTTGTTATCTATGTCGATTAACTATTGAGATTACAATATTGATATATTTATTCGTTAATCGTGTTTTCTTATTTATTTGAATTTTCTATTATATTATTATTATTTATTATCACTACAGACAGTTTTGTTGTGAAATAGTCATCTTCGTTTTAATTTCGCTTCAATTACTCCGTCAGTGCAAACATAGTTAAAAAGCTGGTCATAGCATTAATTTTTCAGAACACAAATCGGTTGAGATAGTTATCTTTAGAATTGTTGTTTTTAAAATTTTCAAAAACTTGTAGCTATCTTTGGTAGAATTAATACTGACTTTTATCGAGATGAAAGGTGATTACATGTACCTATTTATTATCGACATGTCCACAGTTTTAATATTAAAAAGTAATTTACCTCAAATATTGTTTTAAGTACAAGATAAACAATGTACTTCATAACACTTTTTGTATCGAGAAAAGCATCACCGTTGTTACTCTACAGACCGGAAAATTATCATTTTACGCAGAGTCTAACGTAAGTAATTACTTTTTACGTAAGGAATCGCCAAGAAAGACGCTATAATCTATAAGTTACAAATTACACGTTAATGGTCTCGTAATCGACAAGTGAAATACTAAAAAATGAAATAAAACTAGAAGTCAATGCACGCAACTTCTGAGAATTCGTATTCATTTCTGAATAAATAATTCTCATATGCGTAACTTGAACATTCGTATTAAATCGATAATATTTAAATAAATTAATAATTAAATTAAATTATATACTTCGGTCGATATCGTTCAAGTATTCAATTTACGAAGGTGTTCAGACAAGTAGCTTCATAAATTACTTCATTGACAGCAATAAAAAGGTTTCAATGTCATTCATACGATATATATAAATCGATGAAATCTAGTATGATTTGACGAAAAATAAATATTCAAATATTAGTGCTTTCCGGTGTATTTTAATAATAAATAAGAGAATTTTCGCGAAGAGTTTTTCACGTATTTTTAAATAATAAAATTTAGGACTTATTTAAATCAGTTCTCATTTTTTTAAAACAGTGTTGGGGTTTTAACAAACAAAACGAACTTGTAAAACCAGACTAAAAAATGCTAAATTACAATAATTTTCTCTCGTCAAATGTAACTTCGTTATTTTATTTTATCCTATAAAATAAATGCAAAACGTAATATAAACAATTTAATCTCTTACCATATTCCAAAGTTCCTTCTTCATAAAAGGTTTCGCCATATTCATGATCACGTCCATCACCGATGGAGTATTAATGAAATGTATTCCCTTTAATCGAACTGGTATTCCTTCCTGAACGTACATCACCAACTTCTTCATTCCCATAGGACTTATTCGGCCTACATGGCCTAATGACACATTAGCCGAATCTCCAACAAAAATATACCCATCGCAGGTACCATTTTTCAGACCGATTAAATCACTTGCCATGAAAAAGTACTTGCAACAATCTTCGAAAGAATAATGGGATGGATCAGAATCTATCAACTTGGCAAAAAGTATCTTGTGACCTTGCTTCGAGAGTCCAGCTAATTCAGTAGAGAATCTGTATTACAAGAAAAGAAATTAGTTGCCACGGAAATAATTATCTTTTCTTTCCTTTTGCGTAGTATTTGCATTACTAATTAGCTGTTCATCCATCAAGGAAACGTATCGCGACAATAATATACGTAATCTCTAAAGACCTGTTTACCTCAACTGACCAACGAATAAAAACAGTTCTTCGTCCTTATTATTTACAAGTACGATTTATTAAGGAATTATAAAGAAATTACGAAGAAATTATTAAGAAATTATTAAGAAATTATCAAGAAATTATGATGAAAAGAGTGGAACTCACGCGACATTGAATGCCTGTCGGAGTTCTTTCGACCCCAAAGGATCCCTATTAGCGAAGTGTTCAGGAACATGGGACCTAATAGTGAAGAAGTTCTCCACGTTGTTCTTAGCCGCCTCCATACTATAATGATTGCTATGCAAAAACATAATCAGATGCAGATCAGAAGGTTTGGGCAAATGCTGCTGCTTCTCGCACCACTCTCTCAGCATCTCGATATCCGACATCTTTATCTCCGGATTCTTCTTCAATTCCTCCTCCAGTGAAAAGGGGTACGGCAAAGGGATCATCTTCTTAGTAGCCATGCTTGCTTCACACCGCAAACAAGTCGCACTGCGAACAATCGAATTAAAGAGCAAATCCCGCCGAAGGTGTACAACAGTTTTTGTCGCGTCGCGACGACCGTCCGGATATCCTTGAATTGTTAGAGACTTTCGATCAATGATCACTGGATCGCGATAAACGCGTCTGTAATTTCACCGATACACATCGATTGGACTGTCGTCAATTGATTGCACGCGGAAGTCGTGTCGTCCTTGCGAACATGGACTCGAGACAGGGCAAATGCTTGGTCTAGACCGACCGGTCTAGAGACTTAACGAAGACTGAAAGAAACACTGGACGCGTTGATTTTTAATTCATACCGCAAATTAATCGATCCTGAACTGGTATGAGTGTAACGTTACCGGCAGCATCAGGCGTGGTGCTAGGGGCGAGGGGAGTTTGGTGTATTTCCGATTCGAGGATGGCGTTCATTTTTATTTTCCCTGCTGATCCGCGGTAGAAGAGGGTAATTGCGGTAGTTGCCAAAGCGTATATTAGACCGTTCTCAATCGTTTCGTTCGTGCATGGTATATGAAATCGCGAAGCAGCACGAGCTAACGTGACCCGAACCAAGCTGTGGAGACCTCAGGCCTAAATCCATCGATATCGCGTTGAGGCGTTACACATAACGTTAATTAATTTTCACGGAGGAACATCAGCGAAAGAATTATGAAAGCATCCGCCCGAATAGAAGAGGAGGCATTCACCGGTACCGCAAAGGAATCACGACGCTTTCTAATTTAATCATTTTCTGATCTAGTTCCTCTTTGTACCGCTTCAAACACGGACGTCCTGGGGGCACAATTGCTTTCGGGATGTGTTTGTGGATTTCTTTAGAATTAAGATACTTCGAGGTGCTTAAAATGCCCGAAAGTTTCAGGATTGGATACAATGTTAAGTAAAAAGAATTATTAGAAACATAGGAGCTATTAACTTTATCATAGAAAGAGACCGATAAACTTATTCCACATACGTAGAGAATCGTTTTGAATCGGAGAAAGAAATTTTTAAATACCTCATTTGGAACAAATGTGACTTCGTTCTTCACAGAGTAATAATCGAGGTAATTAAAGCATTTTACTCGTATGCTTTTCCACTTTACAATTTTGTATTCTACTTGCAGGAATTTGGATCATTCTATTGTTGAGATTGTATGAAGTAGACTGAGTAAAATGGGAGAGAGGCGAATGAACGATTTTTAGGAACGGACAAGAGATTGTTAGAGTATGATAGTCAATGGCATGGAATTCTTGGAATAATTAAACAGCTGGATATAATAATATAACGTGTATTTAATTGGATAATTTAATAATATATAAAATAAAAATTAGAAGTATTTAAACAAGTACTTGTATCGTATAAAGTAACGATGAAATGAAATAATATGAGAACTACATATCGTGATAAAGAAAGGAATAAAAATTTTTAATTACTACCTTGATACTAATTAAATACCAATAATATAATATTAGCAATATCAATTTATCAAAAAGTAGATGGAAAATCATTTCGTTTATTATATGAATGAAAAATGAATAAAATTATCATTACGTAGAGCGCTGTCCTGTTATATAAATCGAGGTGTGTAAAAGTAAAATATCTTATGCTTGTAAATTTATATATTTATTGTCGTGACCTGAGAAATAATAATTTACACCGTTAGATAACAACACGCAAGACTAATATGCAGCAATAGCGTAACCTGCTCCAATTTTCTCCAATTTAAGTGATACATTCAAACATATGTAGCAAAGTGAAGTTACACCATATACTTTTGTGAATAACTTAATAACTGACTCTTGACATGTTACATTTTTATGTATCACACTGCAACTGAAAGAAGGAAATTGTAATAAGTTTCTATTTATTTAAAATTTGTATGTGTAACAGTCTAGTTTATGTTTCACTGTAGTAAAATTATATAGTTACACTTCTTTATTCTAATACAAAAGCATACATAGTTTTGAATGAAGTAGATTATTTGTTAATGATTAATAAATGTAACTTGCACATTATAGTTTATTTTCATAAACTAAAACTTTTAAACTTTTAAACTTTTAAATGTAATTATTAAATATACTAAGCATTATAACGTATCTTTAAAATATGTTTTTTAATTACAATAAGAGAAAATTTATATAAATTTCAGAATTAATACAAAATTATGTATATAAGAAAGAGCAAAATACTACTCGACATTCTTTCCTACTTTAAAAAAGTTTTAGTTTTCCCGCGAAAAAAGGCGCAGTTTCTTGTTCATCGAATGACCGTGGAAAACAATAGCGCTGTTGTCACTTCAGTGTATTTGATTGCAATTTACCTACGACATAAGGTCCGATATGTATACGAAAATCTCAAAAACTGTAAGGAGTTGTGAAGAAATTTCTCAGAAGAGCTGTATAAACATTGTAAATCGATTAAGAAATATATCGTCTATTTTATTATAAAAAAATCTAGCATTTTCATACTGAGTATAATCGAAAATAATCGACTGTTACGAATTAATGTACTATGAACCGTTTGGATGATCCTCCGGGTCTTATGAAAGGCAGAAAACCATCCTTCATTGGAATGAATGGTATGTTTTTATTACATTTTTATATTTCACATTTATAAAATTTTTGGTTTTATAAAACACTTTCTGTGTTTTTGCTTTTTCTTTATTTCTGTTAAGGTATACATTATTACAATTGTAGCAAGAACGACATGCTGTTAAATGAAATTTTATTTTATTAATTTATTAAACTAAAATAGCATTATCATCATCTCTTCATTTTATATTTTTTTTCTCAAATTTACACTGAAAAATGATTTTGTATCTAGGCTTTTATCATGAACTGTTTTACTTGTTTTCTTCATGTATCACATATAAAAGTGAGTTGTACATATTTATTATTGGATCTTCTCTTAGAACTCATTAAAAATCAAAAACTATTGTTAAATTACATAATTCATAGTAATAACATATGTAATTTGAATCTTGACTTGAAGTTTTAGGTTAGATCACTCTATGTACTACTCATATAAAAACTAAATTTTTAATTATAATTTCATCTATATTCAGATAAATATATTTAGAGTTATATGATAATTTATTAAAGTAATTATTTCTTTTAAATATAATATTTTTTATCAAATACATAATTTGATAAAATTATTTTAGGAGGTCCAGAAACAGATGATCAACAACGCTTACGATTTCAAGTTGAATTAGAATTTGTTCAGTGTCTTGCAAATCCAAACTATTTAAATTGTATGTTAAATAATAATTTATGTATTTCATAGTTGATTATATTAATACTCTTATTATCATTAATAATTTTAGTTTTAGCGCAACGTGGATACTTCAAGGATTCAACATTTATAAATTACCTTAAATATCTGTTATATTGGAAAGAACCAGAGTATGCAAAGTATTTGAAATATCCTATGTGCTTATACTTCTTAGATTTATTACAATATGAACACTTTAGGAGAGAAGTAGTAAATTCTCAGTGTACAAAGTTTATAGATGATCAACAAATTTTATTATGGCAACATTACACCAGACGTAGGACAAGACTGTTACAGACTGCAGCAGAGCAAACGCAACATGCAAATTCTCAGAATAATGGTATTGTACAACCTAAAGTTCCTTGAATAATATATGACAAACTCACTCTAAATGGGTCCATAAAAACTGCAATATTAACATGACATCACATGATATTGTCTACAACTGTAGTTCCTTATCAGAATTGTTTTAGTTATGTTTTTTGGCTGTGATAAGTCACAAATAAAGTACTTTTCTATGTTCTCAATATATCTGTGGTTACACTTCTCCCTCTTTTCCTTCTATCTCTTGGTTATGTATAATTTATGAAGAAACTTATATTTAAAAATCTTTAATACGATATTTAAAATAATTATAAAAATACATATTTATAAATAATAAAACGCTAACTCAAATAAATGAAGCATATGGTAAGAGTTTCAATAATAATAATAATAATACCAAGTTTAGAGAAATATATTATTTTATAGATTTTGTGAAAATAAACTGAAATAAAGGCACTCCAATTGTAGAATCTGATTTTGGACGAATGATGCTGAAACCTGAATAGCTGTTCATATGTAAGTGTTTATGACTGTTTATACTTCAAGACTGGAGAAAAAGGAATATTATTGAAGACAAGGATAGAAGATACAAATTTTAATGACCTTAGTAAGTCTATTCATTATATACATTTATGGAGTTTAATTTGCCTTGAAACATTATGTATCACTGTAATATTTCAAATTCTAGTCTACTTTATTTCTTGTAAATTGTTTACATAAAATCCGGTGTAAATGAAGCTTTTATTTGCTGAAAGATGACAATAAAAGAATATACTTGTGACAGAATAATAAAAAGTATATATCTATGTAACAGTGGTTATTATATAAACTAGTCTTTACAATACTTGACCCTTATATTTAGATTATTGTAAATGCAAACTTTGGCACCTAGTAAAATTATATATACAATTATTAATTTAATATGAATATTCGATTAAAAATATAATAATTCTATTTTGATTTTTCTTTCGCAAAACATTATTTTTGCAAATTACTACCGCAATTATATATACAAATATATTTATTTAACATTAGAACCAAATAATGGTCGAGTACTATATCTAAACAATAAAATATTACGCATCGTCGTTTCAGCCTCTAAAATGTAAATATTTAAAAATTTATATCACTCATAATTAATTATTTTAACTTTTAAGCATTATATAAATTTACTTTATAACAGGCAGTGATAACTGATTGTATTATTGTAAATTTTTTTAACATTAGAGACATTGAACGTAACAGATAATAAATATTTATCGGTATAAACTATTATAATCTAATATTTACGTGTACACGAAAAATATAATACACAATGATACATGTTTCTGAAAATTGTTCTAAACTTATAAAACGTATTAAGTAATTTTTCACGTTCAATTTGAATTAATACGAATAATTAATAAGACGTATTTTATAACTGTAAATTAAATCATATATAACTAATAAGTACACACAGAAAAACATAAAACAGTGGAATTACTTCATTAAAAATTCATACCTCGAATAGTTTGTTAAAAAATATCATTAAAAATAGATCTTTGCGATAAATAGTACAGGATAATCACATTTTAGATTATATTAACAATTATATTGATCATCAAACTATTGGCCATAAGTCATCGATATGACCGCTTTATAAAAATGTGGTATTAATTTTTGCTATAGGAAACTCCAAGTATTTCACTCAGAAATCTTATTTTCTGTGAAATTCACTAATATACCATTTCCTGCATCCACCCAGTCTTCCGAAAATAGTTTTGCTCTAAGTATTTCCCTTTGTGAAGCATCCTCAATAACAGGCACGTTCTCCTTGTTTAAATTTTCATTATTTCTCGTTTCTCTCCTTTTTACAGTCATTAATTCCGAATCCTCCGTCGTATCGGGTAAAACTTTGTTCAATGTTTCCGGTAAAATTAAAGCAAGTACACCAGACCCTAAGCAGAGCATTCCGATAATTATTAATGGAATGCTGTCTGGAAAATGTTCTCCCTGAAAATAAAAATTTTACTCGTCACTTAAGGTTTTATAAATTCACGATATTTTCATGTCATAAAGACACGTTAAAGAAGAATATTTTAGAGAGAAAGTGGAAATTCGTGTCAGACCAGATTTAATTTTTGGTACAGCGATGCTGCGTGTTCCGCTAAATTAATTCTAGAAACAGTGGTTACTGGGATGCAAATCTTACCGATAATAGTACGTGCGGCGTGCACAAATTACCGATTTTCGCAAAAACGGTGCACAAGCCTAAACAGGTTCCACGTACAACAGTTGGAAATATTTCAACCGTGTATAAGTATGTTAAAGAAACGGTACTCATCACTGCTACTCTACCAAATAAGAGTATAATGGTTTTCGCGAGATCTGAAAATAATAACACAAACTGAATTAAATAAGTATAATCAGAAATAATTAAATTCTTTCAAATCCATTACTAATAAAACGTTTATTTTACAGTGTATTTGAAATAAAATAAACCTACTATTATTGTGAAAAGAAATAACATGTGACATGTAATGAGATACACGAAACACTTGATATAATAATTACAAGTTTCCTGAGCATTGAAAGAATGCTTTTTGCATGTTTGTCTAATTAGAACAAAGAATACAAGGTAATGAACTTTTTTTTTTATTAAAAATTATAGATTTTGATAATTTCTTATTACGATCACATACCTATTGCAGTTGTAGAATTTGACAAGACAATTATAGCTGCTAAAAAGATGCAAATTGCTCCGGTAATTGATTGATATGCTGACAACGGTAATCGTCTACCATATCTGGACAATATGAAGTAGAGGAATACATATGTTGCAATTTCCAATATCCCTCCAAGTGCAAAAGTAATATGTCTATTGACAGAGAAACTCGGAACGAATGACATGAAGACATAACATGCTATAGAAGAAGTGAACCTTGAACGAATAAAACAGGTATGTGTGTGTATATATATATATATAATATTATTCTGGATTAATTTTAACCAAATAACTTCATCAATCCTGCAAAGTAAATACTTAAAAAATCTTACCATTGATAAATCATTACAATACCATATTTTTTTAATAGCATGGATTTAAATAGTTCTAATAACTCTTCCTTGGTTTGCACGTTACTAGATTTTTCTTTGATTTTCTTGCACGGTTTTTCCTCATCCTTGCTCGACGATTCCTTTTTGATTGGTGTCCGTAATTCTACGGTATCGTACGCATTTTTCATGGAAAGCCGTTGATTACCAGCCGGCTGTGATATCGATTTCGACTTTCGATGGCTTTTCGAGCTCGATGGAACATTCCTCTTTTCTATTTCTCCATTTTCACGCTGCGTAGACTCCGGTGTTAATTCCGTTTTGGAAAGCTTGCTTTCTAAATTTTCCGAAATCGCCCTCAAACTTGTTTCTAAAATATTCGTCATAATTATATCAATAACATGTATCTATAATAATAATAATTTAAATTTCTTCGTTTTATGTCGAGATATAATGATATAAAGTAATATTGAATTTAATTTGATAAATATTTAATAAAATTGTATTTTCTATACGTTTAACTACGTATGATATCAAAAGCCTATTTCTTATTTGAACTTGATAAATAATAACAAGTAATTTTTCTTTTTCCTTTTGGTTAAGGATTCGTTAGATTTTATCTCTTACTTCGAACTTTTTGTTGAATTGTATCCGTGTTACTATTCAGCAAATTCGCAGCTTCTTCTTTCATTTCGCTATCGGTTTTCGATTTCTTCAAGTCTGCACATGAAACACGCGACTTCCTTTCCGGTTTAACCGGCGTCGCGTCCTCGAGAACATTTGCCTTCGTTCTAACATTTTCCCTTCGTGATCTGGTGCAACAGACATTGTATTTCGTGATACGTTCTACTGCCATATCTGCTTCCGTCATTTTCCCTTTTGCCAACAGCCATCTTGGCGATTCTGGTATCATCCTAAAGATATGTATTACAATCAAAATAATTGAATTGGTAGTTCATCGTAAAAATCTATTTAAATTGCAAAACTACTAAACATCGATAAAATATTAATCATAAATTGGGTCATTGATCAATTGAAATAAAAATATTAAATAATATTAAATAAATAAAATACAGTAAGTGATTTAGTAGCATGTCAAGTAATATTTATAAACATTTTTCTTGTTATCTTATATCTGATAAATTTTGCTAACATTTCATTTGCGACTTTTCGTTATAATTAATTGTATTTACCAAATATAAAGGACGGTTATTGCAGTGGGAACCGAAACTGCCAATTGCAATATTCTCCAATCCGGTATAACGTAACTGAGTGCAGCTAGAAGCACTAAACCGATGGCCCATGCAATTTGCATAACTAATGCAACGAATGTCCGCGCTTTCGCAGGAAACAGTTCCAAAGAAAGAATGTATGTCGAATTTTGTAAGCCCTGAACAAAGACTCCTTGCAGTCCTCGAAGGGCCAAAAACGTGGGATAGTTCTGAAATGAAGACTTTATTCAGAAAAGAAAAGGAAATTTAATTTCGTATTCAATCCACGTATCCTTCTCTTTTTGCTTTCCATATTCCAACAAAAGATTTAATTGACGCAAAGTAATTAAATAATCTTCGACTTGAAAGTCTTTATAAAGAAGGTACAATTTTTTGACAATAGTTCAGTTTCTAATCATTTTCTCTTCTTCAACAAACTGTTACTTGATCCGTTATTTCACGTATTTGTGATTATATATTATTATATATTATATTAAACAAGAAGCCCAATATTATAATATATCATTAATTATTTTTTTAGGCAATTTGAAGAATTTTTGTACCTGCACAACATATAATGCCACAGCCATCGTGCCTTGAGTGTAAAGGCAAATCGCTTGAACCGGGAGCCTTCCTATACGATCTGCCAAAAGACCAGCAATCCAAGCGCCCATTAAAACTCCGATATAATAAACCGTCGGGCTAAGAAACATCAAATACCGTTTCTCGCAAATTAAACCCCATTCGGACACTACGCTGTTTTCTCCGAATTCAGTTACAAATTGGTACTCGCCAAGACACAAGTTTAAATTCGAAGATTCTTTAAAACCGGAAGTCTCGTTTGTTGCAACAGTCACGTTATCGAGCTCTTGGCAACCGTACGTTCGTTTCGTTCCATTCCTTGCCTGTAATATGGAAATAAGCCATTTTGTGCAACCCTTAAAATGTCAAACGTGCTAACTGTTTTAATAATTGCTCATGATGCTATAACATCTTGAGACATTGAAAAATTAGAATTGACCTAACCATTATTACGTTTGTTCGTTTTTTAAATAAGCTAATACCGATAAAAATAAAAGAAGATCTCTAATTAAAGATCAAACGCGTATAATACGAAATTCGTATTTGTAAATTAGACATTTCTTTGAATTCGAAAATTAATTTTTCATTTTTAAGTAAAGTACGCGATATCCTTACATGAAATAAAATAAGTAGAATAAAATAAATTTTAATGCATTAAATGTACTAAATATTAAAAGGATAATATAAATAAACGAGCGCGTTTATTTGTTTATTATTGATTACCAGTTTAAACAAAAATTAGTTCATTTAAATAATTCTTTTGTATAATTGGTTTCTAAAAATCTCTTATCACGCCATTATTGAATTTTGTTACCACGTGGGATCACAATTTGCGCTACATATATACGTACATACACATATCAACGCCATTGAAACGAGTTTCAAACTTTTGTAGGAGACAAAAGTTAGCGAATAAGCAACATTAGTTTTGTTCAAGTAACAACTTGCAACATTTCTCAAGATACATTTCATTCACGAGTTAAACTCTTTGCATCTTACTTACGTTAATATAATTATTCGAACTTTCACAAATTAAAATGTAAACATTTAAATAATTATTCGACGTAAATTTGTAAAATTGATAAATATTAAATATAACAAAATTCATTTAAAAAAGGTGATATATTGAACTCAGATCGTAATATTTCAATTACCCCTTAAGCTCGTCGCATGATTAATTAAATTAACGAACAGTTAAAGCAAACGATTTTATCGAAAGAAGCAGTTAGAGAACCGAGAGAAGAAACTTACCTGGCAATAAAACTTAGGTGTATAATTGTGAAATACCGGCAACGCGTGGCTCATAGCGACTATAACATAATTGACGCCAAGCAGCAGCACGATAACTACTTGAAAGCATCCAACTTTTACTTCCTCCGCGTTCATTTCTTCCGACGATTTTTTACCAAGGATTTCTTCCATAAAATCACGTGATCATAAACCAAGGAATAGTACCTCAACGATTCACAGTTTACAACCAAAAGTCCATCCAAGGTAGATGAGTAACGTTGAAATTCCAAGCGCACGAGGAACAACCCAGTTATCCATTTGTAACGCGATAGCACAAAATAAAGAAGAAAAGCAACGCTTAAAAATGGAGCTTTAGAAAATGAAAAGAAAGTTTGGCCAACGCGAGTCGCTCGAATACGATAGCGGTGAATAGAAATTCGTGACAACGAGCAAAACTTGTCGCGGAGCCCGAACAAAGTGTCATCCGTGAGGGTGAGGCACGCACTAACAGAGAGAAGAGTCCTCTCGCTCGAAGGATAGCGCGAAAGGGGAACCGATTCCTAGCGGTGCGGTGCTGAATCAAACAAGGACAGGAACACATGCTATTGTTTCACGCTTAGCGACACGTATCCCATTAACGCACCACGTCACGGAAAAACGATCTTCTGTCAATAATAATCGATTTTTAAATTGACGTAACACGAATTTTGCATTTCTGGGAAATACGTTGACGTAGTTGCCACTTCCGGAAGAGTCTGGATGGGCTGCAAGGAGAACGATAAGGTAATAAGGTAATACAGAATATTTAGAATTTACTTCTTTAAACATTCTTTTTATCGATACGTACATACATATATATACATATATAGAAGAATGGCAAAGATAACGCTTTTATTTGGAAGAAGAAAGAGCATTGCATGTTTAAAACAATCTTGAACTATTCGTAACTTTCTAACGAAATAATGTTAATAATAAATAGGATAAAGAATAATATATTTTTTGCAAAATTGTACTTTCAGTAATAAACACAAAGCGTTGAGATAGTAGCAAATTTTCACATTATTTGTTGATAATGGTGAGGATTGATCGATCACATATGTTACATATATACATATATACCATATATCTACATATATTGTGCATTAGTCGTATTTATCGATTCGTTTTAATAAATAATTTATTCTTGCCATTTTTAAATATTAATAATCTAATAATTTGACAGAGATATTAAATTGTAACATTTGCAAAAGTAAAATCTGTAAAGAATATAAAATAAATTATACACGTTGCTCAGTTGATGTGTGTAAACTCAAACTTAAATAATAGGACGACTGGGTCTATGAACTCTTGACGCGCGTTTACTTCATTCTACGCTCACCTGTATACGTTGCAACAGAATGTCTCATTGATAGGTATTGATCGTTTCATTCTACTCAATCGCTTTTCTCCGCAAAAATCTCCATTACGGTCGAATGCATACCATATTTCAATTTCCAATTTGTTATTTTTCTTATACGGATCATTTTCTTTTTCATAATATTTATATTTTTTTCCTTGAATTCAAAGACACAAAACTTGGATTTGGCGATAGAGTATTTCAAAGATATTAGAAACGATTTACTATATTTCTTCCATTTCTTTTAAAATTTAAATATTTTCCGATAAAATCTATCAAATATATTTCCATGTACATAGATATCTAAAATCAGATAAATAATAACAAACAATCTTTACATTCGATATTTAATCAGTTCTTCTATGCCTTATTCAAATTACATGCCGCGTAATAAAAAGTGAATTTATAATTCTAATTCCAAAAACTTCATTCCCGAATTAAATTTCCTTAGAAGTACATTTCAACGAATCAATCAACGACGCATCCAATCATAAAATATAAAAGCCATAACGAGATTCCAAAGAAAACAGTAATTTCCGGCTTGATGAGAACAAAATTAGTGTCGCGTCATAAATAAATGTACAAACTGTTAACAAGACATAAAAACCTATCCGGTGACGTCTTCTTGCCGTGTCATACTTAGGGCATGGTTATCTTGATGGAGGGGTACCAATCATCATAGTCCAACGACAGTGTTTCCTTCGTTTCTGGAACTGTTTCTGTATGCGAAGAACATCACGTCCGGTCCCGAGCGCATCCTGCCTTTCATTACAGGCTCCTCGGGTTCGCCCGATCGCCGATTCCAAAGGAAACCCTCGTACCAGCTGAATCCTCCCTGACTGTCCTTCGTCTTCGTTGCAAATCGAACCTCGTCATTAGCATCGTCGTTCGTCGTCGAGGTGATCGTACCTCGGTCATTGTCACAGCCGTTACTTCTGAACGACTTTCATTTCCATTCAATCGTTGAGACCAATCGATTATCCATAAACGTTGCTCATCGCCTATTTTCGAAACACATTCGTAGACGATTCAGGAAAATGCAGCGACCGTGCTACAAATGGAAAGAATATTGTATAAATAAAAGTGAAAGTGAAAGACAGAATAGTTAGAAATTTTCGATATCTAAACCTTACCCTTTCAAACTCGTGGATATTCATCAAATTATCGAATGTGACTATACATTTTTTCGTATCCTGTAGTGTTTTTTGCGTATATTCATATTTTAATAGTTTTAATATTTCATGGAAACTTGGATAGTTTCCAGTATCATTATCATCGTTGTTTATGAAAATTATATCAAAATTATTTGCGAATATCGTTTCAAAAGAAATAGTATAAAATTATTTATACTTTAACGTGATTTTATGTTACCTCTCATCTTTGATTTGAACAAAAATGGGATATAATATTCAATTTTAATAGTTTGTGTTAGTTTATACAAGTACGTTTATATTCAATCTTGATGTAATTAATTTTTAGAAATAGATTATATATTTTAACGATAATTTATTGACATTCGATACATGAACATATTATCAACGTTTTTGTAAAACAATTTTGTTAACATTGATCAATCTTATTCCTTGTCTGACAAACCTAATTGGTTGGCAGGTGAGACTCATTACGATGTCGAATGATTGACAAACAATTTAACGATCACGAACGATTGAATGGTAATGAAACCACCATACCAAGCGTCGTCAATAATGATGTAGTGACGACAGTGAACCATAAAATTAGTAACTTATAGCGATATCGATCGAATAAAGATAAAAGGTAAATATATGTAAATAATTTTATAGTCTAGTAAATAATCTATGATCTATCACACTTTAGTTTATCCCTTTACAGCATTTTTATTGTTATGTAAGTTTATATTAATTACATTTATACTGTTATTAACAAAATACTTACTAATTTATTACTGCATGTATGAGTTAAAGTACTTATTATACTAAATTTATTACTAGGCTTTAGTGGTAGGTAAATAACGATTTGTACCAATATTATTACTCACAAATCAGGCTAATTTCTTAACCGTGTTTAATAACATGTCTACGTTTACCATATCAAAGTGAAACCATAAAATACCCGATTTAGGTTATGCACCGTGTAATAACGTGTAAATGACGAGCATGTGCTCATTCTGTTTTAAAGTCTGTTTCCTTTAAGCATAAAACATATTTATAGAGTAGAACATGAATACAGAATAAAGCAATTAAACATTCATCTTATAACATCTAACTATACATGCCTTAAAAAATTTAGTGAAAAATATTTAAAATTCTAGTTCTTTTCACTCGATTGTTCGTTAAGAAACAATTAACACGAATAATTAAAATGTTTATGAACAATTAGTCGAATATTATAACCGCTCGAAACACTTATCAATAAATTAAAAAACTATCAAGAACGAGCTAACACTTTCACAAGGTAATATCTTTTTCTTTGCACACAATTTAAATAGAGGCACTGTGCTGTGACTATACATACAGTGTCCAAGCACGTATCACATAACCTGGAGAGATGGCCTGGATGCCTTTTTTCGTCGTGTACCGTTACCGTAGAATAACTTCGCTTCTGCGATCATGGTACTACCACTTATTTTACTTTGTCTTCATCGTTCACCTGTTCGATTGTACGTTACGACCTGTATTCTATTAACGTTTACGTTTAATAAGAATAGGTACCAAACGAGTTTCTTCCGCGGAAACAAGAGTTCAGTTCTCGTTACTCACTTCGTGTGGTCAGTTGAAGCGGTCCCATCGATGCAAGCGAATCCGCGGGAAACAAAGCAAACTTAAAGAAGAAAGAACGATTGACACCAAAGAAGCGTTCACTGATATTCACCGGAAGTGATTAACGCATCGGAAGTGCAAGATGAGAATTACGCTCGCCTTAGTAGTAGTTATCACTGCCTGTATCAGCGTAAGTACCAATTGAGCGAAAGCTCGATTACAATTTAAAATTAACGAATACATTACGCATGAATATGCTTAGCGATAAATTTTCTACCTCGGGTAGAATACACTTAATGAATACAATTTTTGCTATTTATAATATTAATTATAGGTAATAGAAACATTTTATTCTATACTTTTTCTTTGAGTATACGAATTGTATACACTTTTTATCATTTTTTTTCAAATTCGATATTCACAATCGTACATAAAAGATGTGAATTTCTTATTCGTGAAATATAAAATAAAAGCTTTGACGGAATACAGTTGGAATTATCGTTTCAGATAATTATAAAAATCGTTTTTTTTTCTTTTATAAATTACCTTTCTAATTAAATGTTTACTAGTAGTATAACAACAACAACAACAATAATAATAATATATGTCCGCAATTTTCGACAGGTTCAATGCGTCGAGAGCAGAGTAAAGAAAACAACACAACTGTCTTTGCAAAGCAAAGAGACAAATGTAGTAAACTTTATGAGATTACTCATGCTGAGACTCGTGTTTGGAGTTGCATCGGCAATGGGTCTTGGTGAAAACCTCTCCGGCGTTCTTGGAGGGATTTTCGTACCACCTGGAGCAGACGATTATAGTGATTATGGCGATGACGATATTATACCGGATTTATTTTAATAATATTTTGCTGGTATTAATACGTTTTTAATAACCTGTAACTTAAATTCATTACAAATATCAATGAACGTAACCTATTCGAATTGTAATTTTGTATTCTAACATCGATCCATAATGAGGTCTTAAACTGAAGTATATAAATACGTCTTTGTACCGTTAATCGTCATATTTTCCATACATATCAAGCATATAAAGTATGCAGTAGACAAACATTCTATATTAATCTCACATCTATTTTGTCATTGTCATATAAAGTGGAACCATTACCCACTTAACCAATTATTTAATTTTACGTACAAAAATAAAATATCCTTCAAAGAGGTAATAAGTAAAAATCGAAAATACTCTTAATTCTTTTTAGTGACTTTAAGCATATAATAAAGTATCATAAAAAATTATAAGCAAAATTTAGAGGTACAAGAGTTAAAATATAAGAAGTTATAAGAATTGGAAACTTCTCTTAATTTATTATAAATTCAACATTCTTGCTCATCAAATTACCTATAACCAGTCTAATGTGTTATATGATTTATATGAACAATTTTTGTTTGTAAATAATATTATATTAATTATATTATATTATTTATTTATTATATTAATTATTTATTATTTATTTATAAACATATATCTTTGTTCTATCAAAAATTATTATATAGTAATTTTTTATGTATTGTGAATTGTTTTTTATACGTATTAAGGTATCAAAACAAACATAAATTATTATTTCTATTATTTTGATTTGTTTTGTAAATTTTGCAAAATTGAATCACAAATTAATGTATAAATTAAAAATAATTATACTTGTAATTGCGAAGTAGATAACCATTTAAGTTTTCATATTAATAAAAGTTCTTTTATTCTAAAACGTGCATATATTCTTATTTCTAATAGTTATAAAATAAAAAAAAGTATAGTAAATATTTCAAATTCATATAATGTAGTGTCAAATATTCTTATATTTAATGTCCTTTTACGAATTACTTATTTTCTAAAAATTTTAATTATTTAATTATTGCAAATATTTATATTAGTTTCCCTTATATGAAATTAGATAAGCCAGTAAAATAAATTCTGAAAAATTGTACGGTATTTTAACACATAATGTTCATTATAAATTAGTCTAAAATTAGTAATTAAGTAATATTCGACTATAATTTTTATATGGCATTAATATTCACGACCGCGATGTTATCATTATGTATATTAATCTTCATATAAATACAACTATTTTACGTAAAATATTCTTACAATGTATATCTAATATATTATGAATAATAAAAGTACACATATTAAATACACTGTTATATAAGACCGATATCAATATGATATACACTCGTGCGAACTAACGCAATATATTTGGATAATTTGCGAGAGATATATATGCAGTTATGTACATCATATAATGTAATATAATATTGTCATATAACATGGTACATAACTGAGTGTTATTAAAATAAGTACTGTTACATTTTTTGTTGAATGTAAACAAATAATTCACTTTATTCAAAATTTTGTTTACGAATAACGCATTAAAATGTATGAATAAAATAAATATTATATTTTGATTTTAAATATATGCATTTATATTTATTTTTTCATCCATTTTCATTACCAACATAAGGTATACGCTTTATTCTGTGTAGATAATCTAACATAGCCTAAAATGTGTATGGTGTATTTTATTTAAGTAATTTACTTATTAGAGTATTTTATTGGCATATTTGAAAATAAAATGGAGTGGATAGATGCAGTAAGCTTATTTGCATGTAAAATAAACTCCAGAATTATTTTAGAAAAAAAGATAAAACATGAAAACGAACTATTGTCTCATTTGTGGAATGATCAAAATATAAAGTAAGTAATAAAAATTGACATAAAATGTAATTAAAACTTTAATAGATTGTTTAATCTTTGTATTATTGTTTATTAACTATTTTGCATGAACAGCTTTAATTTATTTTGTTTTTAGTTATATTTTTTTAAAATATTTGCAAGCTTATACTATTTTCTACTTATTATTTTTTCATTCATATTCTTACATTTTATTATTTAAATTTTTATACTATTTTATGTCTAGACATTTTTTATATTCATGGTTGAAAGATCAATATAAAAAAAAAGATTCTAAATCTAATGCTAAAGCACAAACTTTCAAAATAATGGGAAATAAAGAATTTCAAGCCAAAGACTATGTTAAAAGTATAGAATTATACACAAAATGTGCACAGTACGCTCCTGCAAACAGTTGTGAACTGCCAATTGCAATTGCAAATCGATCTGCTTCATTATTTTATTTAAATAGATATGATGTAAGTGAAAAGCTAATAATATTTTTATTAAATGCCAAACAAACTATGTTAAAATTTATTTTTATATGCATTTCATGTACAATCAATATAATTTAATGATAAAAAGGACTGTATAAAAGATATTGAACTAGCAATTAAGTTAAATTATCCTAAACATTTACAATACAAATTGTATTTACGTGCAATACAATGTTATTTAAAGTTAAATAAACAACATTTAGCTGATGAAATGCTTTCCAAGCTACAGAAAATAATTCATGATTCTGATATTGAGACTTCTATGAAAGGTAAATAATAAGTAGATTAGAATTAGAAATTTTTATTTTCGTAATATCTTCATAATCAAATAATTTATTAATTTTTAGACAGTATTAAACTAAAAATACATAGTATAACAGATACTGAGCTATGTGTACAAAATATTGTACAAAATACTAATGATTTATTAAGATTAAAATCTCAAATTATATTTGAAGAAAATGTTAATTTTCCTAATGCATCTGTAAATGTAGATATAGTATATAATGAAGAAGTAGGAAGACACGTAGTAGCAAATAAATATATCAAGAAGGGTGATATTCTCTTCCTGGAAAAGCCTATATGTTTTACATTGTTAAGTGATAACATATATAATCTGTGCCAATACTGCAATTGCTCTAATATGGACATTCCTGTTCCGTAAGACAGATATTTGTTCGATATTAAAAATTTTCTCATAATATAAACAAATTATCCTGTTACATCATTTTAGATGTACAACATGTTTAAATACCTTCTATTGTGATAATAAATGTTTAAGTGAAGCATGGACATCATATCATTGTTGGGAATGTCCTGGAAGTCAGATGGAACTTTGGAAAAATATTGGCCTAGCACATTTGGCTCTCAAAGTTTTACTAACTTGTTCTACTACAAAAGACGAGATTAAATTTAATGATATACAAAACTTAGATACTCCTTTCGATAAGTTACCTGCTGAATCTTTAATTCTATATGGAATAGTATGTATATTATAAATAGAGTATAGATTAGTAAATAACTTGTATAAGAAAGTAAATTTTATTTAATTACATAATTATAATTTTTGCAGACAGCTATTATGCTTACAACATACTTACTGGAATACACAACCTTTTTTAAAACAAATAATCTTGAAGACTGTTTAATGAAAAAATTTTTAGATAATCGTTTTAAGTTGAATTTTAATATTACAACAAGCAGTGATAAACATCTTTATATAAGTTCATTACTTTTACGTTATAGTCTACAACTTTCTATAAATGCACATACAATTACTAGATTAATACCAATAAATGGAACAGAAGATTATAAAGATGAAAAAGTAGCTGCAGGAATTTATACTTCTGCAAGTATGATGAACCACTCATGTGATCCAAATATAATTAATATGTAATTCTACAACATATACAATAATCATATGTGCACAAAATTAAAAGATCACAAAAGTTGACTGAAAAATTGATAACTATGGCCTCAATCTTTTGATTTTCTAATTAAAAAATTCAACAAATTTAAACTATTCTGACGTCTACAAAAAGTCCTTGATATTCATTTTGCACAATATCTGTAAAGGTAAGGTTTTTCTTTAAAAATATAGTGTAAAATTGATGTACGTTTCCAATTCCGAAATATTACAATTAGTTTATACCTCATGTGCAAGTGACATAGACGAGTAATGTATGTGCGCGTGAATGCGTGTGTATGTGTTTTTATATAGCTTATACTTAGTATATATAGGTGCCTGATGTTTAATCACGCCTCCACTCACTCTAAAAAGCTCACAACAGCGACTGGAATTTCTGACTATATCCACCTTCTCTTTCATGGTATCTCGATCTTTTCATCACTGTAAATATCGATCCACGCATTAGACGCCCCTAATTACTGTCATGTATCTGATTCTTGTCATTCTTGCACTCATAGGGCTTCTATAAATATGAAACTTTAACATCATATTTTTTCGTATATATACCTCACTCTGGGCCTGCTCATTTAAAGCATGCCAATCATCCACACATATGGAATTTATTGTCTAATTTTAATCGGACATAGTACACCAGTCGCGTATATACGCTTTTTACTGGTTAAGAAATATAATCTTATGTGTCATAAATGATTTTAGATTTCGTGCTTGATGTTTTTATATTGGGATATGTGTTTAAGGAAATGTGTATCATATGCATTATATGTTTTTATAGTAAGATATGTAATTAAAGAAACGTATATCATATGTAGGAGATTCCTTTTTTCTACAATTGCACTGTGTAATGAATGTTGATAAATATTTTTATTGATCCGAGGAGTCATTTATATTTGCATAAGTTTTCTGATACTAAACTACATGTAGTTTTTTATCTCCAGTTTTTGCATTAATTTCTTATTTAAGAGATTTCAATCTGAGATGTGTATTTGTAAACTTTATTTTTAAATTCATCTGCTGGGTTGTATAATTCTTTATTAATGCTTTTCTCAAACTTTTGTGCTCCTTTACTTTTGTGAACTAATATATTTACATTTATCTATTTCAATATTTAATATATCTTTGTTACCAAATTTTAGCTTTGTTAATGATTATCTCATTGTAAGAGCCTCAAGAGATATTACTGAAGGTGAAGAAATTTCTAACTGCTATGGTATGATAAAATTTTGTATTGTATTTTATTTGAATAGATAATCTTATATAATACAATAATTATTAGGACCACATTATGCGAAAATGCCAATAAGAGATAGACAATATAATTTACAAAATCAATACTATTTCAAATGCAAGTGCAAGGCATGCACACTACCTGAGTTACGATATTTTGTGGTAAATATAAAGTGTACTATGATTTTAATATTACTTTGAGTCTAAAATAAGTTTTAAGGTCTGTAAATATTATTTCCAAAGTAAAAAGCTTTTTATAGTTATTAATATTTATTTTTAATTTTTACAAACAATTTTATTAGAATATATAACAAAATAATAGGATTATGATTATAGGAAAGATTTCATGCTATGAAATGCAGGAGATGTAATGGTGCATTATGTAATATCAATAACTTTATGTATTGTTTAGACTGTAATAACAGATCTCAAATACAGTCTTCAAATGAAATAAGAAAAGCTGACGAAATTTTCGAAGCAGCACAAGCTGCCATTCTATTGAGTAAACCAGTTGTAGCCCTAGATAAATTAAAGAAATGTTTACATATTAGGAGAGCAGTATTATATAAATATAATGAGGATATTACACTAACATTACATTTGATGGGAGACATATATAAAGCAATAGGTTTGTGTAGATACATCACATACAATGTTATTCTCATGCTGACCTAATAATTTTATAATGCAAAACTGAAATAAAAATTTAATTTTTAGGGCAATGGGTAGATAGTATAATGTGTTTTGAAAACGTACTTGCAGCAATTAGAGAAAGATGTGGTCCCAATAGCAGAGATTCTCTTCATTATTTGCTTCTTATGTATGATCTATGTCTTCTTTATTTAAAAAATGAATTAAAGACTACAAACACATATACGTAAATATCTTTGTAGTTTACTATCAGTTGCTGATATTTCAAAATTATAATGCTTACGGTTTTATGTTACAGCACAATACTAAAAAAAGCTGAAGAATACCTAAATGAAATAGAAGAAATTACAAATCATTATTATGGAACCTGGAGCAAAGTTTATGATGATGTAAAGAAAAAGCAAAAAGATTTTATCTTAATATCTTATAATACTTGATTATCTATTAATTAATTATAACGTAATTACCTTACAATACTTAAGTTATAAATAAATTCATTATTTCATAACTGATAAGAAGAGTGCAAGTCCTCCGTGTGGGAATGTTTAGCTTTTAAGTTGGTGTGAGTGAACGATCTATTCCGAGTGACAATGTGTAATAAATAATAATTCGGTGATGTAGTGGGAATCTTTGTTAAAACTGATATTATTAATAAATAGTTTAATGAGTAATAACGTCGGGTATTCATTATCCACCACACTTCGGGTCGCCGATTTAGTTGAAACTTTGCAGGTTTGTAGATATCGTCATTCAATTTAAAAAAATATATCATAAAAGCTACAACTACTCAATAATTTTTTAGATGTTTTCGATTAAAGTTTTATTACTTCCTTAATTATAGATTTATTCCCAATAGTTTTCAAGTGGAGTCGTAACCTAACAACGACATTCGAGAATTCCTATACTGGTGGTCCGGGGTTCGATTTCCTGTCCATAGTTGGTAGTCGTTTTTTGAATCTATATTTTATTTTGTATTCATTTGTCACCTATGAAAACATTGTAAATAAACAACTGTAAATAAAATTTCTTAATAAAAAATTGTATTTTTTACGCTTTCTTATGCTAGTAGATTCTTATTTATTACAAAATAATAAGAATATTATGCAAGAAAAACACTTTTCTATAGCAATCTTATTTACTACAGAAAGAAAACGAAGATATAAGTAATCTGTAGATACCGGAAATACCGCTCATGTAAGTATTAATTATTAAATTAAACATTATATAAGGATGTTACCTATAATTCCAATTTTGCTGCGCAGCTATAAATGTTCATGAATTAAATACAGAAACTTGGAAATTTTTAAATTTTCTACTGCTGAATTGATTTATAAAGGTGTATTATTAGTGCATAACCAGAACAGGTATCTCGTTCGAATTAAAATTTTACCGCCTGCGATCAGCGCCATCTATGATTTGGCTCCAAATGCACCAAAAGTGATAGGAATATAGAACAGGCAAGGAGGTCGACGATGTGCCGGTCACGTGGTAGGCAAGGATAGAGTGGGGATAGAAAAG